CTCTGGGAACCAGTTGGAGAAACTGAAGTCAAGTCCCTTCCTTAGGAGTTTTGCTTAGTGCTCATTCTCTGGTTTGGATGATTATATTATAAGTGGGCTGTAAGCCGCCGACGCTTAGGGGAATCTGCTGAAGAGAATACAGGCAATGCTTCTATTATTTTTGCAACTTCTCTCTAAATCTAAATTTATTTCAAATAAAAAGTTCAAAGAAGGTGAGGATGTTTGAGTGCTAATCAAGAATCCATTTTTCTTCAAACGAGATTTAAAAATTTTTTTTCTCGTCTTTTTTTTTAATTGGATATTTTCTTTACATTTCAGATGTTATCCCCTTTCCTCATTTCCCCTACCCAGAAACCCCTATCCCCCCTTCTCCTGCTTCTATGAGGATGTGCCCCCACCTACCCTCCCACCCACTCCCACCTTCCTCGAAAGCCTATATAAATGAAGGCTTATTCCTTGTTAAGGGCAATATCCAAGATATTTTTAAGTAAAACATTATTTTTCAAGACCAGCAGAAAGACAGGCTTTATAGTGCAACCAAACCTGGAGCTCATAAATGGTACTATATCTTGTGAAATCCTTGGGGTTATGCTAAGAGTCTGACGTCTGGTCAGATGTACCTAAGCAAATGTGCACGAGCAAATATACAACCAAAATAGTCTCTTATTGTATGGGGCTGGAGATTGGACTCAGGGCCTTGACTCTGCTGGGCAAACAACCACTATGCTACAGCCTCAGCTCCCAAATACTTAAGTTTTAAGCTACTGAGAACTGCTGTCATTAGTGGCTCTAAATATAGAACATACGGATCCTAGGGTCAATTATTACCCACAAGCATATTTATACATATTTTATTTTTCATAGTATCATTGTGCTTAATGTTGGATTACCATTATTTAGAGGTCTTTTATGTACATTAGTCTCCCAGTTCTGTCACTTAAGAATATATATGGATTAACATAATTATCCTCTGACTATGACTGCTCTTATGGCTTAACTAGCAAGTAGTTGTTACAAAACCAGTCAAAGTACTGACTATGACAGGTAGATATGAGCACTGTCAATGTGCTATAATGCAATGCTTGTTGCCTTTATGTATTTGCAGTATAGCAGGTAGATGATCGAGAATAGAGTGGGAGGTTGAAGATAGACCTGATTTTTTCTTCTTTTTTTGGTTTTTCGAGACAGGGTTTCTCTGTATAGCCCCGGCTGTCCTGGAACTCACTCTGGTCTAGTCCTGGAACTCACTCTGTAGACCAGGCTGGCCTCGAACTCAGAAATCCGCCTGCGACTGCCTCCCAAGTGCTGGGATTAAAGGCGTGCGCCACCACTGCCCGGCTAGACCTGATATTTTTGATGCAAAGTAAGCAGGTGGCTAGGAAAATAATCACAAGCATATGATCTTTTGTTAAATCTGTGGGTAATTCGTTCTAAATGCCAATCTAAATCAATGACCACACGGAATACCAAGGAATCAGTATAGAATGGGTTAACCAATGCCAAAGGGAAGTTTGAAAGAAATGTACTAAGAAGACAAGGCAACTGAGTCAAAAACAGCTGCATGCTAACAAGACAGGAGACTCTTCTGTGTAGCTGAGAATTCATTTACAGGCACCACAGACTGGATTCCTATCTGGATATGGTGCAGCGTTCGTTCATGTAGTTAATGGTGCAGCCCTTCAGCACAATGCACAATCAATCCACTCTGATTACCCTTCCTATTCTCATGACCTCCCTTCATTATGACGGGAGAATAGGACAGTGTCTATTATGCCTATAATGTAGGCAAAGAACCATCATCTGTTTAAGTAGCTAGTACTAATGGAACACACACACACATGCACGCGCACAGGACACGCATGCACACACACATATACACACTCATGCATGCGTGACTCAAAAAAAAAGAAAACAGCACACAGCCTACAAATCATCAAACGATTGCTTATTTAACCACTGATGAAAAAAACAGTACACAGATAAATTCAACGGTGCTTCAATTATACAAATTCAAGAGGAGCACCGAATGTGTCGGCAATAATTAAAGGCATGTTCTCTGTGTGTTGTGCATATGATAGGAGTACAATCAGCATAGGTCAATTACCTTGATCTCAGGATAGCTTTCATGCATATCTTGGATAAGAAGCAATACAAGAAAAAAAAAAGAAATACAAAGCTTTTATGCAGACATGAAACTGATGAATATGCTATTTAAATGGCAAATTAAGCAATTATATAAAAGGCTTTGTATATTTGAAATATTTAATTTTCATGAAAAGAAATTAAGACTGTAGGAATTATGTAAATCATCTTTATTTAGTCTGACTGGTCATCAAGATTTTAACACAATGCCCAGATTTAAGAGCAATGGATTCAGAAGAGAATACAGCATATGAAAATAGTTAAGTGATTCACTCTTATTATTGTCCTCAACGTGTTTACTTTATAGTAAGCATTCTTTTGCCTTTAATAGAAAATCTGACCTGAAGTCTATAAAGGATTATAGAGATGTGTGTCTGCATTATTCTATGATGCCTAGAAAGACAGAACCTAAAAAAAAATAAAAATAAAAAACAACAACAAAAAAGACAGAATCTTTACATCGTGATGAAGTCCCTATCAGAGTAAACCATAGAACACTGATATATGTAAACTGTAGAACTAAATTCACTCTCATCACAATGGATTTAGGCACACGAGCTTACAGCATTCAGTAATAAAATCTACCTAAATGGAACTCTTTTCAATAGCTCCTAGAGCAAACACTCCATTAATTGTAAGATGTTAACCTTATACTTGAGTCACTTTGTACGGAGACTTTTTGTTTCTTGTTTGTGTTGTCTCTTTGGAATCTCTGCAGACATTGTGAAGGTATTATGTATTTTTTAAAGACTAAGTAACTCAAGGTTTGAGAGACAAAGGAGCTGAAAGATCAGATTAGTGGGGCTGGAACTATATTCCAGATCTCCAGAGGCAAGATGAAAAAGGACCTAGTGCAATGCCTGGACTTGCATGTGCCCTGGGTGAAAGACGCCATGACGTTACTAGCTCAGTGATCTTTTCAGCCTCAATGCACAACCCAGCCCTGTTCTAATTAATAAACTGAAACTAATACAAAGAAAACGACTGTAGATACAGCATGAAGTAAAAACAATGAAGAAATGTCTTTTCTGAGACAGGATCTCACTATGTTGTCCTAGCTGGCCTGAAACTTGCTATGTAGACCAGGCTGGCTTTGAACTCAACATAGATTCACCTGCTTCTGCCCATTGAGTTCTGAGATAAAAAATGTGTGCCACCAGGCTTAGCCAAAAAAAAAAAAAATTAACCTTTTTAGTTATTAGATCTGCTTCAAATAAAAGCAGTTCAGAGATTTTGAATGTTAGTTCTACCCTTTGTTTTATCATAATGAGATTTCATTATTGAACTGGAATGGTCCACGATAAAAACTAGCAACCAAGATATTAGTAAAACTATGTAGGTTTAGGTTGAACACCTTTAATTTGAAAAACTAAAAAGCTCCAAAATCCAATGTTCTGAGCACCAATACAATGTCATAATTGGAAAATACCATACATAATCTCATTTTGCATTCAAACAATAGATGAACTAAAACACCACATTAAAATAACCTATGGGTCCTGTGTAGATTATATATAAAATATAAATGAATTTCCTGTTTCAAATTGAGTCCTATCTCAAGGAAATACATGAAAATAACTCCAAATCTGGAGATGAAAATGGCCCCAAATCTGAGGAACTCTGAAGTCTGAAGCACCTCTAGTCCCAATCATAAGAGTCATTCAGAGCAAGGCATTTGAAAATGTCTTCTGAGGAAAGCAGCACACAAAGAATGCACCTCTAATAGCCAACACAGCAGCAAGCAATGAAAATGTTAGTGGGGTGAAGTTGATCATTATGACAGTCATATAATATCACGAAATTTCTAAAAATTCTTGCTAAACCTATTTCATTTGCCTATAATTTCAAACTTCATTTCAAATTCATGAGAGCAAATCTATTAAACTAAGAATCCATTCGCAGTTTTTGCTTCTCTGGTGTAATTTGAATATTTTTTCCTTACATTAAGGTAACTATGAGTAAAACAGGAAAATAAATACATTCTCATGGTACACAATCATTTATGTCCTGCTGTATATAGAACCTCACCTGCCCTCATATTTTGCCATACTTAAGCTTGACAATCGTGGCAGTTAGACTTTGTTGATATTTACAAATTAGAAGTTTTCACTTGTGTGTTCAAGAAGAGACATTAGTGAAGTTAGTTGTATAATAATATAATAATCTTCATGAACAGTGAGGTTTCAACTTACATCCTCTGTCTGACTGGTGACTGGTCTTATATGGCATTTATATCTTACTAATATATAAAATAAGCTCGCTCTCGCTCTCTCCATATGTGTGTGTGTGTGTGTGTGTGTGTGTATGCGTATACTGATGCCTTCTTCTAACCTCCAGTGGGTACCATGCATGCACATGTTGTACATATATACAAGTAGGCAAAACATTCATAGATAAAACAAAATGAATAAATCTAATAATTTTTTAAAGTCTAAATTCTATATAGAAATAAAAATCCTATGAGGTGGTAAATTAGTCAGGTTGGTGGTAAATGCTTGCAAGCCCTGTACTCAGAAGGCAGAGGCAGAAGGGTTACTACAAATTCAAGGCTAGCCTGTTCTACATAGTAAGTTACAGACCAGACAGATACACATAGAGTACCTGCTTAAACCTCAGTTCTATAAAAATTCATGACTTTTCATTTTACAAGTAAATCTATCTTGGTAAGGTGACTTTAGTAAAATGAGCCTTCAACTGGCTTAGCTCGGCACACAGAAAAGGGTATAACTTGTCTGAAACCAAATAATACATAATTTTATAATGCTATTATTACTTTTATTCTTTTCTAGCACATCTTGTTTTCAAATGTCTAGAAATCAACACATTGAAGCAATTATGTGCATACACAGGGCACTCACCTTTAGTGAATCAAAACAGGCTACCACTCGGCCATTTTCCACATGGCAAACTCTTGGCGGATGGGCAAACCTGCACTCTGCGTCAGCTCGAGAGCAAGTTCCTCTCTGAAATTCTCTACAAACTTCTAAAGTCAGCCACTTGGTATCACGGATTAGAGCTACATTGACAGGTGTCATACTGAGAGCAAAGCGGCAATCAAGTGCACCCTCTTCAGAGAATAATATCACTGCAGATGATTCAAGGAATCTAAGGGAATCAGAACCAAACGTGAAGTGAGAACAGGTTGATTTCATGGAGTATTTGTTAGCACTTAGGTTCTAAATAAAGTCAAGTCTGATCTAGTCAAACACTAAAAGCCACTTAATAAGTCAACGTACCAGAATAACCAAAAATCAAATTAGAGACCAAGTCCTAAGAAGGCAACTAGAAAGGTTAAGATATTGAATACTATATTTTGTTCTTTTGCTGAATTTGCTCCAAATAACTGGCAGACATTCAAAAGAATCCTATGCTGTCTAGTTGATGGTTTCAATTATTCTTACAAAAAGCATATGTTGCTGGCTGCCCTTCAATTTGTGGATGGTCTCCGATCAAGGAGAGAAAAGTCTATCTCTTCAACTCTTTGCTCAGAGGAATAAGGTTGGGAGGATGTTACAATCTAAAAATATAGTTTTGCAAAATCAAGGGGAGGAAAAAATGACTAAGAAAACTGAGAATGAGAGAAAAAAATAAATGGGCAAGTTGCTGACAGTGAACTACAAGCAGGCAAGGTTGTGTAGGGGTGGGGGTGGGAAGCGTGTGTGGGGAGAAGGCTTGGAAAGAGAGCTCTAGAGTAGAATCCAAGCAGCAGAGTTTTCAGAAAAGGCACTTTTCAGAACCTGCAAGAAAAAAATAAATGAAATTAGCTAAACCACTACAATGCTTCCTTTCACACTCTAGATTCTGAAAGAAAAGTTGCTAGCTCATGTAAAACAGGAAGCAGCTACATACCGACACTGCAACTTAGTACAGTCAGCCATAACCAATAAAAGGGCGCTTCCCAGTGTAGCACAAAACTGGGCAACATCCCAGTCTCTTAAAAATGATTGTTTAGTTTGTTTAGTTTGTTCAGGGTATCCTGCATTTTGCTGTCCACTATGCAGAAAATAACATGACAGCCCCTTACTCATTAAATTTACTTGCATGTGTCATGGTTGTAGAGGCACCCCCAATCTATCTTTAAACTAATCTTATCATGGCCAATTGCAGCCTCTATTATTTGTCCTCATACCAAAACACAGGAATGCATGTAAACTTATATGAAGCATTCATGACACAACTAGCTGGACACTCACTTCTTACGAAGTGAAATGGGGGACGGAAATATAAAATGTGCTTTCAATTTGAGAACATTCCTTGAGCAGTTAGGATTGTTGTTCCACGGTGTATTTCCCAGGCTATTTATTAGTTTTTTATGAAAGGAAGATTTCAACACACACAGGTAGGTGAGATAGAACATGCTATTGAAGTATTATGTTAGGTATTAGGCAGCTTGAAGATTTGCGGTTAGCCCAGTGTCAACCAGCAACAGAAGCAAGCAACTCAGCTGAAAAGATACATGCAAAGTTAATTTGCCAATGATATGCCATGCGCACAACCTGTAGTAACAGCAAGACAGAAGTTAGCTGTAAGTAGCCAATAAAGCAACTACCTTGTTAATGGCATCCAAAGTGAACTTCAAACTCATGAAAATCCTTCACTACTTATTTTAACACAATCAATCCCTGATTGTTAGCCTTTTCCACAGTCCAGAGGAGATTCAACATCACTGGACTATTCAGTTACCATTGGGAAAGTAAAAGTCTAGTCAATGCAATTAAACTTATCTAGTCAATGGAAAACCATTTCTTTCCCTCCGACTTCCTTCAGATAATGTTTTCTAAAATGTATTGTAGGTGACTTTGTTTCCTTACAGCTTACTGAACTAAGTTGCCATTTGGCTAAAGACTTGGATTCACTGATGTCTTAGGAAGTATCTCTTTCAGGAACAAACTATTCTTAATTTTACTACTGCCACAGTGAATTTCCTAGTCCCCTTCTGGAAAACGTAATAGCTAACTGGGAACGTGGAATTACAATTAATTACTCAATAATGGGCCTGGGGGCATAGTGTGGGCTTTCAATAGAAGCCCCAGGACTACTCTTGCTGTTCGGGGTCCCCATCACATTGTGTTACACATACAGCCATGTTATAAAGGTTTAAAGTTGTCAGACAAACGGAAAAAATATGATGCCATGGTTATGACAAACTTAAGATTAGTTCCTCAACAAGTTAGTGTTATATAACCTAGCAATTCAATGCATCAGTGTGTTATTGAAAAATAGCTTGACATTCTGGCAATATTTACAGACATATTATTTACAAATCCTGGAACTCACTATGTCAACTATGCTGGCACTGAAATCACAAAGATCTGCCTGCCACTGCCTCGAAAATGCTGGGATAGGAATGAGCTACCACACCTGACAAACTGTGCACTTATAAACGAATAAATTGGACATTATGTGAAATAGTGCCTAATAAGGCTGTCACTTATCATGTATTTTTTAAGTGTAAAGAGGCACAGTAACAACAGCAACAACAAAAATATATAAGGGAAAAAAGCAACTCTACTAGTAATGGGATCGGCTACTCCACACTTTACCGTATTCCCCGTGGACATTACATCTCAGCACTGTTGGTTCCCTAAGGGAATTTTCAAGAGCAAGCCCAGCTCACATATTCTAAGTGGCTTAGTATATTATGGAAAGTACACTGTAAGGGTGTGCTCTGGAGCATGGAAATTTATATTCACATTTAATCCTGCAACTAAATCACATATGTGAAAGAAAAACAACCACCAAAAAAAGAGGAATATTTATAAGGGTCAAGGATTTGCTCTGAACATAAACAGCAAAGATCTGGAGAAAGACTATTCTACAGAGGCATATCATGTAGAAACACAGATATGAATTATAATTCTTAATTTTGAACTTACACAAATAAAAAAAAACCAACAGGAACTGGCTTCCAGTCATGCATTCTATGTAACATCAGGAGTGGGTGAGAGAACAGGGTTTTTGTTTTGTTTTGGTTTTGGTTTTATTGCCTATGACCTTGGATGGGATCCTGGCCAATTCCTCGATACAGTTCTAGCGAATACATGTCTTCCTTCCTTCAGGGTGAAAACATTTGGGGAGTTGACTCACAAGAAATGAGGTACAACAACAACAACAACAACAACAACAACAGGAGCTGGTGAGAATCTGAAGTTCTCTCATGCAGCTGTACTTGGAAAGACTATGCACCAAAGATAGGCTCTTCTTACATTCTTAAGATCATCTAGTTTGGGCAACAGTAAACTTTAGCCTTGCAACAGGAAGAGTTTGGCCTTTTCTGATTTAGAATCCTCCAATGCAGAGCATGAAATTACTGTGTTTGTTTGCTCTTTTCCACATGCTAGGATTGCATTGATCTTTGGATCTCTCAAAAAGATTGTAGTTTTTAGTTGTTGGATTTGTTCTCAAGTGCTAAGAATGGAACCCTAGGACTTTCTTATGTTATCTCAAAAATACTATAAACCATGAGTGATAACTGAAATATTCTGATGAAAGAAATGAAACTCATAAAGTTAAACCTCTTGTTTGACATTACTAAGCTGTGAGTGGTTAAACCATGACTTAAGGCAAGATCTTCTGACTCCAAGCCTTCTGCACAGATCTTGACAGAAGACATTTATCTCCTCTGGGAATCTCAAAAGAGGAAAGCTAGTCATTTTGTGCTATGGTTATGTTTCATTCACAGCATTCCATTCTTGCCTGGTGTGTATCATCCCTTTCATAATATCCCCAAGTTGTAGTGAAGCAACATGTACCAGTATCTGCGAGGTGCCAGGCACGGTTGACGAGACTGATAAGATCTCTGGCTTTGTGGAATTTCTTATGTTCATTTAGATAAAGAACTAATTTAAGATCCAGAAAACTGGAAAGATTATATTAGAGAGTTGGTGAAGGGCTGGAAGTAGACACTAAGTATTGTGAATTCAGCACACGTCTCTAATTCACCATGAATGGAACACCCAGGTACTATGACTTAATTAATACTCTTAAATCCACTCTTAAACACTTGCACAGAAGTGAGTCATAAAGAGAAATACTGGGGAATTATTCACACTAAGATTTACTGCTGCCTAGATCCCTCCTGGGGAGGAGGCTATTGCTCTCATCTTATAGATGGGAAAAATGGAGGTGAGGGAGGTTGAGTAACTTGCACAATGTCACACAGCTAAGTAGGTTATAGAGCTGAGGTTCAAGCCAGGCAGTCTGACTCCTTTTAAACCATATCAAAACACTGGGTCGTTATTATGGCAAAGAACACATTTTTTTCATTATTCTATCTGTCTGTCTGACATAACTTTGCTCTGTCCAATCCCCTGATATTAAAGAATATGGCTTCTCGGTTTTGTGCCTTTGTGTTTTGTCATCACGTATTGTTGTGCATCTAAGGACTCCTAGTTTGAAGGATACTAAGGTGGCATAGTAAGTTAACATTAGTCTATCAGCTGTACCTTGCTAGGAAGGAACTTCATTACGACCCAAGAATCAGAGTTCTGTCTACCTTTCTAGGTTTTGAAAGCACCAGGTCCCCTTCCCCCACATCCTTTCTTTCCCACTATCTTTGGTGGGTGGTGGGCTACAAAGGAGGTTAAAGTGTTTAAGAACCATCATCAAAAATAAGTTTTGAAAAAAATTAAAAAAAGAAAGCAATGGAACAATGAATTTGAGTATTTTCTCACAATTATAAACTTCAAAATAATGCTCATCCATAAGGCCACTAGGCAAAATATAAGGAGAGCATACAAATTTATTGCATATACAAAAAATTCACAAATAATTACATCTTTTGAAAAAGTACACTGTTTTTTAAAGATTCTTTTTATTTTTTATAAAAATTCTCTCCCTCTTCCTCCCTACTTGTCCCCCTCAAAGTATGAAGAACTACGTTCTGCTGATCTGATAGAAACAGGAAGTTATTCCAAAGGCGTGCAAGCTCACTACAAACAAGCACTATTGTCTCATTTTCCCTTATTCTCCAACCTCTCCTTTTCTCCACTCTGTGTCTCCAAGTCAGTACACAAAACAGAAGCACAGCCAAAGTCTACTATGTTCAAAGACCACAAAGATGCAATGTCTGAGGAGGCACTCCTTAAATTACTTTTAGAGCACTC